GTAATCATCCAAGTAACTCACTTATAAATTAATTTATTTTATTTTCCACCAACATAAAGTTTGGTTATGGTATGAATAACCAGCCCTGAAAATTCCATAAGAATCCAAAAGAAAATTTAAAAAAGTAGATGAGAAAAAACACCAAAAATTGAAGTTTTGAGAAAAAACGACATTTTGTTACATAATAGGCAAAATGAAAGTTCTAGGAGAAAAAATCTGAAAGATGGTGATTGTAACACAAAGAATAATCACTTTTTCGATTTGCAAGTGATTGGAGTATTATAGTACGTAAAAAGTCCAGATACCATAAATTGGCCGAAAATCGTCAATTTAAAATCAGCCCTTTTAAAGAGAAGCGAAATGAGCAGACAGGAAAGAACAAAATATTATAATGACGCAACAGTTGACGTCGAGAACACAAGATTTGATGACGTCATTTACCAGCGCTGCTGACCAGGTCGGACCATCTCCTGTGACGTCATGTTGGCCAGTGACAGAGAGGATGGGAGAGAGAGGGGGAGAGGAGGGAGGGGGAGATAGAGTGTGTGAAAATGTGAGAGAGAGAAGGAGAGAGAGGAGGAGGGTAAGAGAGTGTAAGTAATTTACCAGCGCTGCTGACCAGGTCGGACCATCTCAGGACGGCGTCCCTCTCCTGTGACGTCATGTTGGCCAGTGACATATAGAACTTCTTGGAGATGCAAAAGCGACGCCGTCTGGTGGGAAAGTTACAGCGTTGTGAACAATAGATAGTTTCAAAGTAAGAAGTAATTTTGTGGCGTCGGTGGCCTAGTGGTTAGGCTATCGGACTCGTAATCGTGAGATTGCGGGTTCGTGGGTTCGAGCCTCAGCTCGGTCCGACGCTGTGTCCTTGGGGAAGGCACTTCACACGAATTTCCCACTTGGCTCGGTCCTTTCGGAGACGGACGTTAAACTCGGAGGTCCCGCCCCTTAAATAACCTAATAGTGTTGATAGGGGTGTTAAACCTATACATTTCACCTTTTTTTTTCAGAAATAATTTTCTTTTTTTAAATTATCCTTTTTGTTTAGTCGGGCACCCACGGCTACCCGTAAGTTTCTATAATTTTTCTAAGAGTTTTACGGCACTTGCAACACAATAAGGTCATATAAGTGCCGAAGATTAGAGATGTTACAAGAGAGTAACAATACAAAAAAGAAGGAGGGGAGAAAGAGACGATAGATGTTTGAAAGGAAAGAAGGAGCAAACCACACCAGAGCACCCACCCTAAGTTTCAAACGATTTTCACGATAACATTCTTTATCGGATTGTTGTGTCTTAATTTGTCTATATTACTACTAGAGTCCGTGGGGGGGTAACATGATGCAACACTGGATATCTCTAGCATCACAATTTCTGTTAGAGTCATAAATTTATATTATATTGCTGAACACGCATGAAACAGACAATTACGCATGATGTGCATATATATACATGTACTAATTGAAGTATACGCACAGAGAGAGAGAGAGAGAGAGAGAGAGAGAGAGAGAGA